GCTCGCTGCCGCGCCGCGGCCCTCTTCTCGCGCGTTCCCGGCCCCGCGGCCCTCTGTTTTTGGGGTCGTTGCAAGGACATTTGTGCTTCTAGCTTTAAAAAGTTATTTTTACTTTTATTGTATGCATTTTGCATGTGTTTTTTTTTCTTCTGATGCTTAATAATCTGACAATTATTAGATTATACAACATGAATAGAAAACCCCACTTTCAGAGACTTGCAGTAATAATTAATGCCTCTAAAGTGCATCTGGTTTATGTTACAATTAGAGTAGACTGTCCTGAAAACAAAAGTCACTTTTTCTAATGCTGGATCTTCATTAATAAAATTCACTGTTTGACTTTGGGGCTGCTTTACATGTATTTTCATGGCAAGGACAACTTTTGATTTTTCTCATTCCTGCAGGGATCAAAGCTGGAAGTACCTCTGTGGCTTGCTAAAGGTCTACATGACAGCAAAAGAAGAATAATTTCTGTGGAACTGCCAAAGATTTATAAGGAAGCCTGGAGGACAGTGTTCAGCGCCGATGCCAATGTGGTTGATCTGCATAAAATGGGACCATACTACTACGGATTTGGCTCCCAGCTCCTGAATTTTGACAATCCAGAGAATCCTGAGATAGCTCAGACGATCCTGCAGGCAAGTATCTGAGTGAAGTCTTGAAATTTGGTTTTATGTTTTGCCATCTTCCTCTTGTTCCCAGGTGCTCAGCAGTCTTCAGGAAGAATATCCTGTTTCAATCTAAACGACTTCTGGATTGAATGGGGATTTCTAGATCAAGCTGTAGAATGACCCTTTTGGCCACTGAACAGTCTGGTGGTGGAAGCCTCAAGTACACATCCAGGAGTGTAATTTTAGCTTGGAGTTTCCACACTGTAAATACGGTATTTTCATACAATCCTGCAAAACAGGACTAGAGGAGATGTAAGATTATTTAATCCTGTCTGTGCTGTAAGGCAGAATTAATTCACCCTCTATTATTTCTACTTTCTACCCTGTTTTTAAAGCTCTATAATGATGAGACTTCACACTGCTCTGGGCAATCTGTTTCAGTGCTTTGGCCATACTAATCTTAGAAGGCTTCCTCTCACGTCTAAACCAAAGCTCCTTTGCAGCCATACAAGCTCCATTCTGTTTGTCTCATACAGAGTAAATGCTGCGGGCAGATTATTCTCTTCCTTCCTGCAGCAGTCCCAATTCATTTGGTATCTCTTCGTGGGTGATGTCTTCTAACCCCTGATTGTCCTTATTGTGCACTGCTGGTATCTTTCCAGTTGATCTGCATCCACTGTGACGTGCAGTGCCCTGAACAGCAGCGTACAGTCTCCTGCGCAGTACTTCAGCTGATGGAAAGAAAGGTTACTTTGTGAATTTTGGAGGCCATGACGCTCTTTGTTCATCGTGGTGCAGCATCTTGTTTTTCATGATAGGGTGATGTTGATAAGCATTCGGTTTGCAGTCCACAGTCAGGCGGTACAGATTGCATACGCAGACAGTCATTCCTCTTCCTGCATTTGTATGGTTCCATGTTTCTGCCTTAATGTAAAACCTTACGTTAGTCACAGCTCAATTATATCCTATTGTTTTCACACTAATTTGTCAGGATCATTATGAATTAAGAGTTCTGCTTCCCAGCATGCTTGCAGTCATCCTTCCTCCTTCTCCTGTATGTTGCTTGCCAATTTAATAAGCGTAACTTCTGTTCCTTTAGTAAGCTTATTAATATTAATATCTATTAATATAGAATCATAGAATGGTTTGGGTTGGAAGGGATCTTAAGATCATCTAGGTCTACCCCCCCTGCAATGAGCAGGGACATCTTCAACTAGATCAGGTTGCTCAGAGCCCCATCCAACCTGACCTCGAATGCTTCAGGGATGGGACATCCACAGTTTCTCTGGGCAACCTGTTCCAGTGCCTCACCACCCTCATAGTGAAGAATTTCTTCCTTATATCTGCTCTAAATCTACCCTCTTTCAGTTTAAATCCATTACCCCTTGTCCAGTCACTACAAGCCCTTGTAAAAAGTCCCTCTCCAGCTTTCTGGTAGGCACCCTTTAGGTACTGGAAGGCTGCAATCAGGTCTCCCCAGAGCCTTCTCTTCTCCAGGCTGAACAACCCCAGCTCTCTCAGCCTGTCTTCATAGGATAGGTGCCCCAGCCTTATGATCATCTTTGTGGCCTCCTCTGGACTTGCTCCAACAGGTCCGTGTCCTTACGTTGGGTGTCCCAGAGCTGGACACAGTACTGCACATGGGGTCTCACCAGGGTGGAGTAGAGGGGCAGAACCACCTCCCTCGACCTGCTGGCCACGCTGCTTTGGATGCAGCCCAGGATACAGTTGGCTTTCTGGGCTCGGAGCGCACTTTGCTGGGTCATGTTGAGCTTCTCATCAACCAACACCTCCAAGTCCTTCTCCTCAGGGCTGCTCTCGATCCATTCTCTGCATCATGCTTGGGATTGCCCCAGCCCCTGTGCAGGACCTTGCACTTGGCCTCATTGAAGTTCATGAGGTTTGCACAGGCGCACCTCTCAAGCCTGCTAAGGTCCCTCTGGATGGCATCCCTTCCCTGCAGCGTGTCGACTGCACCACACAGCTTGGTGTCATCGGCAAACTTGCTGAGCGTGCCCTCGATCCCACTGTGCTGACAAAGTGTTAAAACAGCACAGGTCCTAATACCGATCCCTGAGGCATGCCGCTCGGCACTGGTCTCCACTTGGACATCGAGCCATCTATCAAACAGTGCTCAGTTCCAGATAGATCCCTGTTGAACTCCACTCAATATGTTCTTCCCTCCTGACAGGAGCTGTGGGTAATTGTCTTTACTGATCACCTACCTACCGGCGGTTTAGCTAAATCCCGCAAGAATGCGCCGTGATAGATACCTATCTGCTGCTTTTCCGCCCTTTGTAAGGCCTAGCATCCGGACGTAATGGGAAATGAGGCTGGTCTCTCAAAGTTTGTTCTTGGCAAGTCCATGTTGGCTGTTACTCTTCCATGTTCATGCAGAAGTTTGTGTATAGTTTATTTGTTCCAGTGTGTTTCCAGGAATTGATACTGATGGATTTATAATTCCGTGGCTCTTCCTTCCTGCCTCTCCATCTCCCCATTCTCTTCTAAAAGATAGATACCATCTTTGCCAGTTTCCGGAATTCTGTGCTCCTTGAGCTTTTAAAGATAACCACTAACAGCTCGGAGATATCTGCAGCCAGCTCTCTAAGCAGTCTGGGATGATTGCTATTGGCTTTTTTTTTTTTTTTTCTTTTTTATGTTTTTTTTCTCTCTTCTTTCAGTGAAGGCTGATGCAAAGAGGTGTTAAAGCACGGCTGCTTTCTTGGAGTTGTCCACTGAAAGCTTGCTTTCTGCATTAAGGAGGTGACCACACCTTTCCTTCTATTTTCTCTTCCTGCTAATGGACATCTTTCTTAGGAAAAAAGCCACACTAGCACCCATCACTTGTTGACAGAAAAATCAAAGCATGCAAGATACGCTTTCTTTTTATTAAAAGCAAGTAAGAGAGGAGTTGTGCTCACTTACAAAATAAAGAAAAGACCAACCCCCTCCCCAAATATTCAGGAACTATAAATGTGAAGTATAACTATTTGGTGACAAAGCCAAAATGAAAGTTATTAATTTATAATATATTTATTCCATGAGTAAATCTCTGAAATACTACAGTTCTGATGGTTTTAAAATCAACTTCTGAAATAACAAAGCACAGTTTTCAAAGAGTTTTGCCCCTTTTTTTTTAACTTTATTCCCAAAAACAAAGATAAGGAGGGGAATAAAAATCCTTAAATATGTTTTGTTGCTTAGCTTTTTAAAATGTTATTTATTAGTTGTAGATTTGTTTTTTTAACTTCTTTTCGTGGTTAAGTGTTTTTTTGGCATACTGAATGCTTTACAGTGGCGGTTTGGCTTAACTTCCAGGCTGTTCACAAGTTGCAGCTTGCGTGTTCCTGCAGTAGCTGCTGTGGCGTGAGATTCATTCCACCCGCTCTAAAGCAATGATTGCTTGTGAAGTGAGACGGAATAGATTGTAATTGTGTCACACCCTGCGATCTGCTCAAGCCTGTCATTAGGAAGCAGCCAAAATCTAATTCTGTGTTTGCTTCCCATCCAAAATATCAGGCACTTGCTCTCCCAGCTCAGGCAGGAAATGGTTTGTCTTTGTAGCCAAGGTTAACAGGTGCTATGCTGTTTGCAAGCCCTTGGCTAGTTGTGAGCTAGAGCCTACACGTTTGGCTTTTCAGTCTTGAAAGCTTAGGCCTGTAGCATTCCAGCCGAAGAAGCCTCAGTCTTACCTGTCAGTAATTCTGCTTATCTTCTTTAGACATTTATTAGCCGTTTTCGTCGTATCATGGACTCCTCTCAGAATGCCTACAATGAAGACGTATCAGCGCTGGTGGCTCGGCTGGATGAATTGGAGCGAGCCTTATTTCGAGCTGGCCAGAAAGGGCTGAATGACTTCCAGTGCTGGGAAAAGGGACAGGCTTCTCAAATCACAGCGTCTAGTCTGGTCCTGAATTATGGGAAAAGAAAACTGACGGATATGGATGGTTAAAAACCTGAAGAACGTGCAGCTACAGTGGAGGACACCGGGAGGTTTACAGTCTGTTACAGAAGAGAATCAGCTTTGGGGAAGGACAGGCTGCCTGTTCATTAATGGGAATTCTTCTCTGTAACATCTTCGATTAGCCTAGTGCAGATTTTCAAAGGCAGATGGCAAGGGTATAAAAAATAGATCACATCACATCACTGGATAGCTTTACAGCTTACTCATACCACTCCTGAGGATTTGCAGTTAAAATGTTTGCTCGGTGGCTGACAGGATTTTCTGAAAGGGTAATTAATATCTATTTTTTTTATCTTCCAAACTGATAGTTACAATACTGGTTCTGTTTGGGGAAAAAAGTGTAATTCTATGCATTTCATCTTGCCCTTCCCATTCTAGCCACCTGGGAACAGCTGTTCCCAGGTTCCCTGTTCTTTGGAGAGCCACAATGATGTGGAAAAAATGTGGTACAAACCGCATTGAATTTTTGCCATTTCTTATACACTGAGCTGGAACAGGTACTCTTTGTGAGACAGGAATGTTTTTCTTTGCTGACTTTTGTACACAGTGTTAGAGAAGGTATTTTTCTCCAGGGCACTAACCCACGTAGCAAGTGAAGTGGCCGTGCAGATCTCACATGCTGCCTCATCCTCTCTCTCTTCTGGCCCTTGTGCACTTCATGCTGCATGGGGTGGAGAATGTTCTTGTTTGATGTGAGTGGCTTTTGCAATAGATACGTCTCCATGATGGGTGTTCAGCTCCTGTGTAAAACAAGCAGAGGAGGTGACTGAAGGCAACAAAGAGTTAGTCTGGACTGGATCAGAAGCAGCAACTTTATTGGAAAAATCTCCCCGTTATCAACCTCTGAGCCATCTGTTTTCCCATGAGAAATTCTTCTGATTACTAAATTTGGTTAGTAGAAGGGACAGAGGAAATGAACTGAGTTTCCTTCCTTCTGATCCTAGCAAAATGATCCTAGTAAAAGTCATTCTTGCCATTAGGAGTGACTGGAGTTGGAACTTGCTAAACAGCACAGTAGTTATCATCCTGTGTGGATGCCCTTAAACCTAGATCATCTGAAGTCCCATTGAATTGCGAGACAGAAAACAGATGGTTATCTCTGTAGGACTTAGTTCCTGCGGTCGTCAGGATGGTCGTCCTTTGGAAGCAGGTGTTAGACATCTTATGTGTGCTTCTGAGCATCTGCAGAAGGTGGACCTTGCAGAGTACCTAAGTGGAGGAGCCAGATTGTAATGATACTGAACACTTCCTCTTCTGTGGGAATCACTGGGAGGTGACAGCAAGATCTACATCTTGGAGCGGTTGTTACTGGACTTGCAGATGCACCTGGATATTGGATACTTCAAACTGGAAACCTCAAGTGTAAAGGGTGCCTGGCCATTCCTTGGCCAGAGGAGTGAAAGCTCTGGCTCTGGAGGTGGTGAGAGGGGACAGCATGCTGGCTTCACAAGCACCTTGGCGTCTCCGCCTCAGCTGCACAGGAGACTAATTCGAAGCTGTGCCTGACAAAGTATTTCAAGTACGTGCAAGATCAAATGCTGCTGCACTTAATGACTCAATGGCACATAATAGCTTATACATTTTCACGAAGCTTTTGTCCGTTGTCCATTTCTGGATTTTTATGTTGAATAAATATTTTGTCGGGGACACTCGTAATGTAAAATGTCTGTTGTTAATTGCCCCGCAGTAGAAAAATTAGTCATAGATCAGAAAGTGCGGGTCTCTCCAAAACTGGGGCCATGATAGATGACGCAGTCCTGCTTGTATCGGTCCCCTTTTCTTACAGGTAATGTGGTTGGGAGCTACATTTGTGCAGTTGTGCAAGTGTAGAAGGAGTTCCGGTCTGACTTAGCCTGCGTGGGTAATATCTGTTTGCTCAAGTCGTGGAGAGACGCTGCCAACCAATCAATAAGCTATTGATTTTATAAATTGCGTTTTTATGAAACACAAGACGGATGTGTTTTTATGAAACACAACACACAATTCTGTTTTACCTTGACTTTGTTGTAGAGTAGTAGTGGGTGGAAATTGTCTGTCTCTGTATTCATACCTTGCTGCTCCGAGCGTTGTAGCATGGACTTCATGTAGCATGTCAAAGCTGTGTTCAGTACTTCAGCTGCAAAGGAAGCAAGTTTTAAGTCCATCTGTGATGAGAAGCATTTTTGAATTGGAAGAATTACTTTAATGAGATGGTGGCTTTACTTTAATGAGATGGTGGCTTTGAGATCGAGTTGGTTTATAACCAAAATCACTAGTTCATCAGTTTCTGGACTGGTTTTGGTGACTATCCAAATTCATTTTCCTACAGTTGAAGAACATTTTTCTCCCAACTGCTGGGTGCAAAATCCAAGCAGATGGTTGCTCATTTGCCAAGATTTTGTGCAGCAACTTTCAGAGCGAGGAGAAAAGAAAAAAAAAAAAATCCTGAAGTAGTCCTCAGTGTCACTGGCTTTTTGTAAGTAGGTAGTATCACTTTTAGTAACCCTGAGTGTTTAGGAATAAACACCAGTAGGACCCTTAAATCTGATCCTGTAATTTTAAATTACAGTATCTGATTAGTAGATTTGATATTCTGTTGTGAGTGGGGGTTTTTTGTTTGTTTTTTCCCTTGCTGGCTGGAATGCTTTTTTTCTGTCCAGAAATACAACAAAAGCGTGCTCTGTACTTTTTATGAACACAGACTGTCCTTTATGATTGCACCGCAGCAAGCTATAAGTTAGAGGAGTTTGAACTTGTGTATTTTCAGAAAGGCACAATAAATCCTCTTTACAGAGCTATACAAAACAGGTCTGAAAAGGACTTTTAAGTGTCATTTCTACCCATGTCCCTCAGCTTTTAAACTGGAGGACGACTGATGTTAATGAGAAGGCGGTCCATAGACACATTTTACAGTATTGCCACAATAGTTTTCATTGCAATCAAATAAAAAATAGGCAAAATTTGAGATGCTGATCAGTTATGCATTCACATAAGAATATTTGTTTGGGTTTTAATGGCCTGTTTTTGAAAAGAGGTATGAGCTGGCCTGGCCCAGTCCTCCCCCTAAAGCGAGGAGTTGGACTTGATGATCCTTATGGGTCCCTTTCCACTTGAGATATTCTGTGATTAGCCCTGTCTAACCCATCTCAGGATGATGTTTGTCCAGCCAAGCCTTTAGCCTTTAGAAGCCGCCTCTGCAGGAGAACCCGCAGCCTCTCTAGGTCTGTTACCATGCCTGGCTGCAACGTACGATGAACAAAGTTGGAGCTGTACGTTCACTGACACAGCAGAAGACATGGCCAGTTGAGGACCGTGGTGGTGAATTCCTCTTGGAATGGTTAGTGAAACTGAAAGATTTTCCTCACCTAACTTTTACATTAACTTCTCGTAAAACTCTCAGCTCCTGTTGTTTATCTCTTCTGTGTATTTTTTTTTCAAGCAGGTGAGGTAGCCGTGGAGATTTGATACCTGGTTAAATAAAAATAGCTCTGCAACCAGCACACACACATTTTCTCACCTATATAAATTACCCTTTCACAGAACGTTCATGTTTCTTCTTTGCTGTCCTTTGCTCTAAACAATGTCTTAGTTTGTCCTCTGGCATTGATTTATTTTTGGTCAGCAGAATGAAGCGGTTGCAACCGGGAGGAGCAGCAGCAAGAAATGTTTTGATTGATATGAAATGTTACATACTGTAACACCATGTATTATTTTTTTATGAGACAAACAGTGGCACCTATCTGAGTTAGAAGCACAAGCCTTTCTGGTCTTAATCAGTAATTTTCTACCCATTTTTTAGTGACCAGCTATTACAAGTTTTAATTGTAAAATTGACCAGCTATTCAAAGTTTTAATTGAACCACTTGCTTAACAGAGATGTGATGTAATTCAGTAGAGGCACAGTGTGAATGCTTTCTTCACACACAATTCTGTCCAGATGTGCTTTTTATAAAACACGATGTCATACGGCTCAGGAGTTCGTGGTCTTACTTACAAAACTAGCTATTCGCCTAGTGCTGCCTCTGCCTGGCAGGAGGCAACTCAAAGCTGTTCCTTGCCTTGGTTTCCTTTTTGGACAAACAAAGGTAATGCTCCTTTATTAAAAGCGTGTTTTGTCCTCTGGATTGTAGGCAACAAATAATGCCAGCCAGATTTTCCAGCTCTGCTGCATCTGCCAGAGTTCAGATGCTTCCTTGATAAGCGCTTGTCAGAGCTGAAAGATTCCCCTTTTCATAAATCACTCTGGTTTCCTTGATCAGCCGCATTAAACCCTTACTGATAAGCTTCTCCAAGACTGCCACATATCTGGTAACTTCTAAGAATAAGTGCTTTATCCACTCTCTGCCCTTGTCTCCTACTTGAACAGCCACTTGGCCCTGCAGGGAGTGGCCAAGTGTGCAGTTCTAAGCCCGCGTTTCTCCTCTGTCTTCCTGATCTTACATGCTCAGAAGTGCTTTCGTTAAAGTTGGTGGCAACCTGAGCACTAAATGCTGAGCAGAACTGTTGGTGGGACTTGCATGAAGACGGGTGGAGGGATAGCAGATTGCCCTGGTTTCGTCATGTCCCACGGGTGAGTAACGGGTTAAGGCCATACACGCTTCCAACTTAGGTCTGATGGTTTTGTTTTGCAAGGCTGGCTTTGTGATCTGTGCTCTAGTGGGTGTAACATGATTTTCTGTGTTTTGTGCTGATGAGGCAATGTCATTCAAGTCTGGGGCAGGCAGATGCTGCTTTTGAAAGAAGCCATGCCAGTTTGGGGTTCCCTTGAAAGCGTCTCCTGGGTGAAGACCACCTGAGCACTTGCCTTGAGTTGTATCTTCCACCGCAGCGTTGCTGACTGAGAGCTGCTGCTGCTGACATGTAGGCCCAAGGGGCTTTTGGGTGTGGGAACAGCCTGTTGACCTTTGTTCTGAAACTGAACCTGACGTGGTGTCAGCAGGACCTTGGGGATTTGTATGAACCCATTAATGTCACGTGCACATCGCTATGGAGAGGGTGCCAACCTGCTGTGGCTGGGCTGGAGCTGCACATAGATGTTATTAGTGT